TGTAAAGTAAGTGCTGCACACAATTTCTTACACACCCGTGGGTGAGAAGCCCATGTGAGAAAACTGGTAACACACATATGTGTGAGATCGATTTCTAATCCCGTGATTGGCTACTCCATGGTGATGACCTAGGGTCAGGGTATGGCGGACTACTTTCCTGATTAAAATTCATTGATAAGTTACTCGTGCTTCAATCGAACAGAAACCTGTTACTCGTGCAAAAAATACCCCTTTACACCTACCTGTTATTTTCGCGATTGCAACATAAACATGTATTTATACAATGAGTCACAAGTAGAATAAATATAACACAAATCTATTTATTTTCAAATTCTTATTAAAACTCTGATTTCTAGTCATGAATTCAAAATGGCTCCAACAATCTTCGATACCTGTGTAAACAATTACGTGAAAATCACCGTTAGACATAAAGCCCTTGATTCCCTTCGAATATTCAAAATGTACAACACTGGTACTTTTACTGGAAAGATGCGACAAGTGTCATGTGTCGTCTTGCAAAAATACCTGACACGATAACGTCAGTGCCTGTCTAGAGATCAATTTGCCTTGTTGTTTCTTTGATGCATTGATGAAGATGACATTTTCCACCGATACACATGATGGAGACTCACTTCCAGCTCCGAGATACTATGTGATTCTAATGTTATCAAATTCACTCATGACAATCTGAACCAAAACACACTCGTTGAAACAATGTACAACATGGTACGTTTTGCAAGGCTTCATGAGTGCAAATGGCGGCACACGTCCTTTCTGTTCAATCAAACATGTACAGGAACGGTTGATCTACACATAAGTCATTGTTCAAGATATTCCTCTGACACATGATAATGAAAAGTTTATGTCTTGATAACTTACATGATGTAATCAACTCACATTTCATACTGAAAACTCCGTAAACTCCATCACATTCCAAGTGGCAGTTTCTGGCTCGGGAAAACGAGAAGGATGTGGCGAAGAAGAGTAGTCCCCCATTGACAGTGAACGTACCCTCAGCAATGTCACATTCAAGCACACTGGGTGCACCTAATTACACACACTCAAAACCTTTGGCTCCGGTCGATGGTAGAACATTGAGCGTAAACTGGTACACAAGTACAGATCCCCAATGTGCAGAGATATCCAAAACAATCTTCCGATGATGACGACAACCACCAAGCGATAACGATGACGTCACACACTCAAATATTTTACGCTTGCAAGAATTAAAATCATCCACATTTGCATGGTAACATCATCGTTTTAGAGGGTTTGATTAATTTTCAGTGATCTTATCTAGTTATCATTATCACCATTGCCTTGATGATGTGAAGAGGTGGCAGAAACCTTTTTGTGGTGGGTCACTATGGGGATGAGTAGTGATTAGGAAGCCAAGTGACGTCACTCATTCATAAACGTTGTGTTGTGTATTATTGCGCACCTACGATTAGAAAATATGAAATTTGAATCTATTCGACCATAACATGATACGATTTATGGTGTGTAAGAAACAGATTACTGTACTCGTGTCTGTCAGATACCATTTATCTTACAACTCGTTGTTTCAAAACGTATTTGAAACAACTCGTTGTAAGATAAATGGTATCTGATAGACACTCGTTTAGTAATCTCTATATCTCAAAACATATATCCACATGCTCACGTGCATCTAAGGCCCCAAGCACACTGCAATACACATGTAAAGTAAGTACTTCACACAATATCTCAAAACATATATCCACATGCTCACGTGCATCCAAGGCCCCAAGCATGTTGGGGTGTACATTTCATAAGTGTAATATTAATGTAAACTAACGTTTTTCGACTTGATATACAAGACCAGCCGTTCCCGTTAGTCGATTCTTTCGATAAGCATGAGTTGCTGACAACCAGTTCTTCATCTCTATAAGAACACCAATAGTCGTGTCAAAGAGATATATAACTTGTCAAGTCGGCTGTTTGCAGTTTTGTCAAAGAACAAACCTATCAGACCATTTCGATGTCTTCCAGAAGATTTTACCATTTAGTATTTTGTTGGTCATAAAATATTCCATTCTGCTCATCACGAGTAAATGTCGGCAGCCATTCCTTGGAAGTAGATTAGATGTTGTTTTTAGGGACATATTTAGATGTTTCTGATACATTTTATAGCCTTTGTCTTATTTGTTCTATAAATCAGACACAGAAAGGTCTATCCATCTGCAATGGCACTTCTTTACAGAAATTCTGTTGTCATACGAGCGTCGGTCAAATAGTGGTCGGCCTTACTATATTTTCGGTGTCCAGTGTTAACGATTAGAGATGTGGTTAACGATATATTAGTCAGCACAACACATTGAGGTATACTATTTCTAAAACATTTGAAAAATGAAATCTTTGCAAACATTCTATTGACATATGTTCCGCTGTTGTCTCTTTGTCAGATGTGTATTTAACGTTTGTCACAGTTATGGCAGCACATGCTCACCGTTTTCGACGACCTAGAATCATAACTGTATAATAGGTTTATCGACTGGTAAGGTGTTGGACAGTCTCATTATATTGTTTTACCATTCATAACCTGATGACATTTTCGAGTGGGGCCTGACTGGTCCTTAGCGGCAAACAGAAACCCTCTCTGTAATCACCTGACCAGCCACATGACATCTCGTGATAGGTGTCGCTAGTGTGTCAGTCATGTGACATCTCGTGATAGGTGTCGCTAGTGTGTCAGTCATGCTCAGTACATTCCCGCGAGCAGACGCAAAATGTCGGAAGAGAACCACACAACGTGTTTAACCGGCGATTCGGTAATTGCTGAACTGTGTTTTAAGATTGATGATGCTTTGAAACGCTACGACAACTGAGAGCGGCGTATTTTGACTGACAGAACAGTCCGGCCGCTCTTGAGAGTCAACAACCAGACCGCACGAGGTCTGACGTCACCAGTCAACCTTTGTGACGAAGTGCTCACATTCAAACATTGTCTCCGTGACTGTGTGGACTTTTCAAATGCAAGGGATTCACACTATCTATCCATATATCTAAAACATCTGTTTTCCCATGTGAACGGGTATCTCACTGAGAACTGAATGGATACATAATTTATGATTGGTAATTTAAAATGTTAGAAGTTGAATCCATGCCGATCTTAAAATTATCGACCAATTTCACTAACAAGCTGCGTTTGCAAAACCATTTGATGATAATCTATAATCAATAATTGTTCAGCTTGGGATTTCGATATTAATGACTGAGGTAAAATCAGAAGTATCATCGATCATATAGTGCGTTTAGAATCATTCATCAAACATTGATAAGTGTTTATCTCTGCTCGATCTATAAAGAACCCAAATCAACGTGCCTTAATAAGTCTCATGGCTTCTCACTTTTCATAATTAACATTTCTATATTATGCTTGGTGTTTATATGCACTGGGTGCCCTGTCACTAACAATTTGTAACTTTATCTTGGCATGTTATGTCATTTACATTTCACGACTTATGTGTGCACTAATTTAGCATGCTGTGCCACAACTTTGCAGTATTAATTACTATCTGTAAGAGGGAAGCTTCATCAATCCCAATCTGAGCCTGCTTTTGGGGCTTATTGTGTTAATACTAATACCTGTAACCAATATTCCATCTATGTCTACATCCACCTTCGGTTGGTATCCATGTAACCTGATTTTGCTGGAATATACATACATACGTTGTACTTACAATGTATTTGCACAAAACGTGTTTGGCAAATGTGATGCAGTTCAGTCATGCCATGAGAGAGTTCCATGTTTGCAAAGATCGGATAAGCTTTTGAAATGCAAGAATATGAAAATGCAGGAATAAAACCCAGTCTACATGCAACTATTAGATAGAGAAATATGCCAATAAAGGTACTCTATGTGATTCAATCTTATAATGATACTTGGGAACATAGCTGAGGAGCTGGCGGACAGTTTATATAATCAGAATTCTCTGAGCACCTTGTAGAGACTATCGGGTGGAATCTTTCGTGTATCAACTACCATGCCAATGTCTATGGTAGCCATTTGAAACAACTGTGTGTGATCCTCTTGTACCATTCTAAAAATATAGCGCTTCAGGTTTTTTTCAGTTGTTTCCAATTCGTACTACGTTTTAAATCGTGTGAGGGAGTGAGTGAGGGTTTTAGACATATTCCAGCTATATTACGGCGGGGGACACCAGAATCGGGCTTCACTAGTTTTTAATCAAAGAACAAATGTTCTTTTAACACCTGGCTAAATTTGTCAAAAACCGCCAACACCTGTAGGGATTGTGTAAAATGAGCTGGGAAAGCTACTATTTGTTGACACATATTCATATCTTCCTTTCATTTCCTATCACTGTGTCGATTTTATAGATACACTATGGCTGAAATAAACCCGAAGTGAATTTAAGTTTTAACTCACGCAGTACTTGTTTCTTTTAAGGGGATGTTTGTTAAGGGCTAACAGTACATAAAATATACGTTCATAAATCTGGTATTTGGTTTACTTCTATGTTTAATCTAAATTAATGTTTTTCGGAAATGTAGCAAATATCAGAAATTGATTTTTCAATTAAGGACGATTTATTAAACGAAATCTGTCACTTTCTAACATGGCAGATATTTTGTTAAAAACGTGTAATCCGTTCCGATGTTTTTAAGTTTGACCAATATTTCTTCCCGAATGTAAGTTATCATATATATTTTTATTAACTCGTTTTATGTCGGTGAAGTTATTTGCGGGGTGAGATTGGGGTAGGAGAGTTTCCATTTTAAAACTAAATCAAACATAAATTTATTTTTTTTGACTGATGACTTTTGATCGAGACAAAATCAATTTCTAGTATGTCTCTAAAAACAAATTAATTTCGATTCTATAGGCTTAATCAATGTTTTTCTTGAATGTATTAGTATCAAACAAAGTTTTTATTACATATGTATTTTTTTATTCTTGATATTTAATCTACAGGTTTGATGATGTCAATTTCATCAAGATCAAGATTACTGAGCAAAACTGAAAAATTGACACTCGGCATTTATTCGACTAGGTTTTTAATATTAGATTTAACACAATAATTTTAGTTGTATGCTGTGCATAGAATATGTTGACATCAAAGGAAAACAAAATACTTGTCTCCCTGAAACTCTTTAACAACGACAACGTTCATGATGTCAAGGTACCCTCCAAAAGGAAGTTCACAGCGTGGAGAACAATTCGACTGAGGTCTTCAGAAGGGTTGTGGCCTCCTCTAGCGTCTCTTACAGTCACACAACGTCTCCTCGTGGATCTTAGAACGTTCATGATGTCAAGGTACCCTCCAACAGGAAGTTCACAGCGTGGAGAACAATTCGACTGAGGTCTTCAGTAAGGGTTGTGGCCTCCTCTAGCGTCTCTTACAGCCTCACAACGTCTTCTCATGGATCTTAGTAAACACATCCCGAGGAAGACGTGACGTTGAAAATGTCTGTGGTGATATTCATTTGCTGACGAACACGTCGAGCTAGCTCTTCCCAGATGTGTTCGATGGGATTGAGGTCGGGGCTACGCAACAACCATTCCAGAAATTAAAGCATTCACACTGTATACTGCTGTTTAATATAATTGTATATATGTTTGATTAAACAGAAAAACAAATTGTCGAAATTTATAAATGTCAAGTTATCAGTTATGCTGATGATAGTATTTTTTGTGTGTATTTTTAAGTTATGGATATTTGATCTGCACTCGTTTTATGACAGTGAAGTCAACTTGAAGTGTTACGGCCTCTTGCAGAGGGAACCTTCCCGGAACTTCGAGCAGACTTTCGTCATCGTCGGATATCTGAAATAGACACGACCCAATTCAGTTTCATTAAAGTGACCCGTCAACTGTACATTAGGACCAAATATATATATAATTGAACACCTGCTACATCTTTGATATTTTCTCAGCATCAACAAAGAAAGGTTGGGTAGCGCAATGGTTAAAGCCTTCGCTCTTCACACTGAAGATCCATTTTGTTAGTGGGTACAATATGTGAAGCCCATTTTTGGTGTCCAATGCTGTTGCTTGAATATTACTATGAGCGGTGTAAAAACGTTCTTAATCACTCAGCACACAAACCATTTTAACAGGGCCGTTGAACAATTCCATATTTTCAAGACTCAACCACCCACCCTAATCAGTCATACACCGCTCTAGTAACGTATTGGTTCCTGATAAAGGTTCAGAGTGCCCGCCACTATGATATTTTTGATATGTCGACTGGTTCGATATTCCTGCCGCTTTCCTGAAGTCCCCGACATCCGTTTTACATTCATTAACATATTTAAGTATACTGAGTCAACTGCAAAAGAAATATTTGGTCCGAGACATTAAAACTGATCCCCGATATGTTGTAAAACAAATGTATTTTCCAAACATTTTTTTTCATAAACGTCAGAATCTCTATACTTTACACCGTAGTCGTAATTATAGATTATCTGACTGCATTTTCCGGTTCATCCATCTTTTGGGTTTTTTACAGTATTGCTGTGCAGCGTCAGGCTAAATGTTTATATATTCAGGAGTATAGTGTAAATGGCGGCTGCTAATGTTAAGGCGGGACAGGCTTAACCTTTTCACGAACACCTGGTGTCAACACTGATTTCAGTGATCCATTCATATAATGCTCACATGTATTTTCCCCGTTACACGAAACGGAATTTGTTTCTGAGGATAGTCATGACTCGGTATACTTTTGCAGAGACAGTCGATATTGAATATTCCTCACTGAATAAACATCTAAATGGATGCTGCAGCAGACCTCATTTGCACGTGTTTACTTGCACACATCCTGCCAGGACCTACCAGGAACTGAGTCTCTGTCATCTTGATGTATAGGACTGACGTCACGTGTGGAGTGAGCACGGGGTTGGAAGACCTCACTTCAGCTCCCCATGTTAAGGACGCCCCAGCAGTATTGTAGATGGCGGTATAGGGCGACCAACGAGCAGTCAGAACAAAGACCACTTTACTCTCATCCCTTGCTAACAGATATATTGAAGGGCTGAAGAAGATGATTGTATTCACCAGATATAACACCATGACACAAACGTTGTCTGTTATTTGTATTTCTCTTAGATGAGGTATTAGCTGGTAATCAGTTTGTATCCAGTGATCATCATGAGCATCAGTCGTGTATTTGTGATACGATAACAATCATCAACCAAGTTGTTCGACAAGCATAGGTTACTTAAGTCCAAATATTTCGTGTCTGATCATGAATCATTGCCAATACAGCCCTTCTCGATTACTAACAAACTGCCTTTAAATGGCACCTTTCAGGTGTTAAACAAACATCAGTCATACATCAAATCATGTCAATTTCTAAACACGCACATGCTCCGAAAGTTCGACATGCATTAAACAACACATCAATCAAAATGCTGATGATTGTGAACTTCACAAACACCTACATGTTGAGTAAGTTTCGTTTCAGCGATACCTACAAGTTGACCCCATCTGCGGCTGCCTCCACGATAATCTCCGCACCACTGGACAGGGCAGCAGGGAGAGGCGTCCTGAATACTCGCACCTGTTGTAAAGAAGACAGTGAGCAGGTGTGTGTTATATAACAACTAGACAGGGAAGCAGGGAGAGACGTCCTGAATACTTGCACATGTTGTAAAGAAGACAGTGAGCAGGTGTGTGTTATATGACAACTAGACAGGGAAGCAGGGAGAGACGTCCTGAATACTGGCACCTGTTGTAAAGAAGACAGTGAGCAGGTGTGTGTTATATAACAACTAGACAGGGAAGCAGGGAGAGACGTCCTGAATACTCGCACCTGTTGTAAAGAAGACAATGATCAGGTGTGTGTTATATAACAACAAGACAGGCGTGTAAAATGTTATGCAGAACTGTAGCAATATGTATGCTTTTTTTCAGTGCTTTATGTTTATCCTAACGAAGTAAAGTAAACCCTTATGACACGTATATCATTGTATCTTTTGTGTCTTTGTAAAACTAGATTGATTTAAAATTACGGTAAAGTTCTTATCGGCCATCATTGTATTTACAGTAAGTTAACATGAAAAACATGAAGTGATGTATGTGTTGGAGGACGTGGACATAAATGTGTTAAGTTTCCAGACATATGTCACTGTACCGGGTCAATGCAGAGGGTCTGCATGCACCGTCCTATGTCTAATGGTACGTTGTCATGAAAACATTTGCCTGACGTTGTCGGTAGATAGGAGAATCCGTTGGAACAGCTGACATCCTCGTGGGTCTGGTTCCTGATCACCGAGAGTGCATTCAGGATCCGGAAGTCGCTGCAGGTAACTAAACACAACACAGATTCCACATCAGTCTCATCATGAACTACTTGTTGACAATTCCGACCTGTCAATACAGCATACCATGCTGAAACAGTTATTTAGTCTTTGTTTTTCTGCAGTTACATAAGCTATACCTGTTGGATATTTGGCAGATATATCCTCAGCAATCAATGCCCTTTTGTACAGTGACTTACGTCCATGAAGTGGTAACATCTGGAATGTGGCACTGAGAACAGTGTTATATTTGTATTCAGTGCAGGGCATTGGTTTGCTGGTTACTATATCTAGGCTTATAGACAAGCCTGGTGTGGAAATTCCAAGGTCTGTAGAAAATGCCAGAATATAGATCTTTGCTGTATATATAATGGGAGCCAGCTCCTGCCTCCTGCCTCATCTCCGGTTACATCTCAAATTACACGAACATCACTTTTCGCCCAGGGTTCCTAGCCAACACTAACAGCTTGTCTTTATAGCTGCTGTTATATAAAACTGCCTGTGCATTTGAACTCTTATTAAAATTGGAATTTCCACTCTTTTTTGTAGTAGCTCTTAGTAGTATGATTTGTAAACTTAGATACGTTGAAAATGCAATTGCTAATTATCCCACATTTCTTTGTTGTTTGTTTTCCAGTGAGTTCCCCATTTTCAATTATTATTTTTTCATTCTTATAAATTGTAGATGTAATGTGGCAAATAGATAATAGGATACACTACGCTTGTGACGAACTCAGTTGGGGCACTAGTTTCAGTTCGTTATAACCGTGGTTCGTTATAACTGGTTTGTTATACACCTTTGTGCACAAAATACACGAATGGAAAAAACACTGTTCACCACATGCGTAGTTTTTATACGAGTGTGTTTTGTTGTGAATGCTGTTTGCAGTATATTGATCTTACAAGATCTCGGCAGTCGTGAAATAAACGCATCTATAATTGATAAAGCATATTTAGTACACCATGTCCAAAGTTTTTGAGGATGGATGATCAACACATTTATTACAACCGTACAGACAGAATCGATGTAGATTGTAACCTTTTGACGAAGCTAAGAAGGTACCAAACATCTTAACGATCTCATCAAACATTGTGCAGACTAATTATTGAGATAAAGTTTCCTAAATTGACAGCCCACTATTGTTGCAATAAACGTTAATTACACATGCAAGCATATCCAATTTGCATTGGTCCATTTATTATACCGAGCGGTTTGGATTGATTATTATCTCATGTATTGTGAACAGAGAGTGGAATGCATAGGAGTCTATTATACCTGGTTCATGCAATGGTTTTCCACGCTTTAGACGACAATATGTTTGCACTGAATAGCACAAACATGGTAAAATCTCCATTACATCATCATATATAAGAGATGAAGTCTTCTTAATTAACACCAGGCTACAGACGCTAGTAACCAAACTGAAACCACCTGACTGCAGATCAATGCAGATTCATGCCAACACTTTCTTAAACAAGGAGTGTACGTTATACTGGCAGATATTAAAACAGACGCAACCAAATATTATTTACGTTCAGCAAGCGAGTGCGTGCGTGAGTGAGTGATTTTAAAACACATCGGCAGCATTTTAGTCATATCGTGACTAAATCAAGTTTGATTGATAGTAATTGAAAGTACATTTTAAAACCATGCAAACAAGGACAGTAAAACAACTAGATTATCAGAGATATAAATTTGAAACTAGTAATCGAAACCATTTTAACTTTTGATGACAATAAAATATAGAAACAGGCTATAGATTGCCAACAAATGAAGGTAGATCACCATACTACTACTGATAAAAATCATGCATTTCTGTAGCACCTGATATCAAACTGAAAGCTGCTCAGCAGTGCATTACATAAATACTAACATGAATCAACACAGAAGTTAAAATGTCTTGGAGAAAATGTTTTCAAGGATTGGCGGACAGGGTCAGCTGTGACTGTACTGGGGACCGGCGGTTTCGTGGCGGAATAGAAGGAGTGAAGAGTTCCTTCAAGTAGGTCGGGGCTGTCTCACAGTGAAGGGCAGAGTAGGCGAGGGTCAGAATTTTGAAGGATACACGTTTCTGGATTGGGAGCCAGCGAAGATGTTTCAGGATAGGTGTGTTTATGCTGTCTGGTACTGGTAATGACTCTGGATGCTTTGTTCTGGACTCCTTGTAGATGTGTGATGGCTCCAGATCCTGACAGGAGAGCAGTATTCCAGATAGGATGTGATTTATACATGCAGACGAGTTTTGGTGGTATCAACATACAGGTATCTTCTAATTTTTCAGATGGCACAAAGTTTGAAGTTTGTGGTTCTGTGATTCTTTAGAACTTGAGTCTTGCTGCACATACACCTGTCCATTTGAACACCCAGCTTCCTGCCAGATGTGGAAGGTGCTACGGAAGATAATCCAACTGACACATACACCTGTCCATTTGAACACCCAGCTTCCTGCCAGATTGGGAAGGTGCTACGGAAGATAATCCAACTGAGAGCATGTGTCTTTCAATTTTATTACGTTCGTGGGGCGTCCCGATCATCTTGAGTTCAGTTTTGTCACTAGTGAGTTTATGAACGTTTGATGACAGCCAATTATGAATTTTGCAAACACGTTCCTCTAGCTGTGAAATTCCTTTCCTGGGTGCCGTTCCACTAACCGATCTTAGCCCTATGCCAATCGTAAACCCCTAAAATCCCAATCTAAGCGTGACGTTACGATCGGCATACCGTTCCACTAACCTAAGTCAATCGTAAAGTTAAGATTCAAAGTCTAAGTTGCTCATGACCAACTTAGGATAGCTAAAATCAATCGTAGGGAAACCAAAATGGTGGCTTTCCTATTTTATGTGAAAAATATGAGCGAGCATTTCACCGTAAGCGTCCCCTAAAGTCGCCCATGAAATGAATTTGTATATTTCTGTGATGTAAACAAACACTGCACTGAAGCCTTACAAATGTCAGGCTAGTCTGTCCACTGTCGTCATGGGAACACAACCGAGCGAGTTGGTGTAACACATTTGTACAACAATATTTCAACGTCATGGTTAAGAATAGGGACAGCCGTGAAGTGAACAATGTTCTGAAGCAGAAAGATACAAATATGTTTGATTTCACTGCGCATATTTGGTGTGGGATTCTAAAGACAGTCCGCGTGTTATTCAAGACCACTGACAGATTCTACATACGTTATATATAGCCTCGTCACGCCTTGTATATTCTGATCGACAAGGTTCAGGCACATATTAAAAGCTCTGACACAATTGACATTTTTAAAGTCCAGACTTAAAACATGTTCTTAGTATATTACTTATAATCTCGGCTGTAAATATTCTCGTGTAAATTATCTGTACACAGCGCATTGATCATGCCCAAGGATGTGGAATAGGGGCACTATAAATATGCATTTATTATTATTATATTATGCTTGATACCCAGCGTTCTCACGCACTTGCACCTGAAACCAAGGTGCCCACTACCCTAATATTTTGCTCTAGGTTTTTTCTCCACGTTTACACTTGGTTGGAAAAACACCCATGAAGGCCCGGGTTAGAATATTGAACTTCAGTAACCCATGCTTGTCGTAAGAGGCCACTAACGGGATCGGGTGGTCAGGCTCGCTGACTTGGTTGACACATGTCATCGGTTCCCAACTGCGCAGATCGCTGCGCATGCTGTTGATCACTTGATTGTCTGGTCCAGACTCGATTATTTATAGCTAAGATACATAGCGTTCACTAACATGAACGCTCATGTTAGTGAACGCTATGCATCTTAGCTACATTATTTACAGACCGCCGCCATATAGCTGGACTATTGCTGAGGGCAGCGTAAATCTAAACTCACTCACTCACTCAGTTGGTTCGTAAACTACTTCCATCATTATTTGCTAGACTGTGCAAAGGGAGATAACTCATGCCTCGCATTCCTCTATCTCTCGCACGAAAGAGTCTCGATCTAAGCTTGGATCGGATCGTAAGATCGGGACCGGCTACGATCGGCCTAAGATCGGGTAGTGGAACGGGTGTAACTTTTAGCTAAGACGATTTTAAAATTGGCGTAACTTGCTAAGATTGATCTCAGGTAAGATCGGTTAGTGGAACGGCACCCTGATATTTAATGTCAATGTACAGGAGTTTGTCATCAGCATAGCTATGGAACTGGAGTGAGTACTGTAGAATATGCCACCTAGAGGTTTTGTGTAGATTGAGAAAGAGATGGGTCCAAAAGCCGACCCCTGTGGAGCCCCGCACTTCAATTACTGTCCGATGAGGCCAGGTGTTTTGTCCCATGCATATATAACATGTTATAAATATATAACATCCAGGCAACACCCAGTCTTACACACCCGCGTGGTGTAAAGGAAAAACAGCAGTAAAAATGTATATAGATAGATCACTGAAAATCAGTGGTGCGACCAGCTGTTCGCGAAAAGAGACGGCATGCCCTGCTCTACTGGTAGCATGTGAACAAACCAGATAATCAAGTGATCGATGTGTCGGACAATAAACACATAACCAATAAACAACAACAATAAACAACATAACCCCCTTTGACTTCTGTAAGGTCAGTGAATCTGTAACATGTGAAATTTCAGGTGGTATATTTCTACTGGAACATCCAGTAAACGTGAATTAACGCCGTTGTATCCTAGCTGCGTTGTCCGATGCTGATAATGTCAATCACTGGATTGTGTGGTCAAATATCTACAGACTGACATCACGTATGCCAGAATATTCCTGAGCCGGGTGTCAAAATCAAACAAAGATCCTAACTTTCTAGGAGAATATGAGTGAATACCATGTCATTCATCCAAACTACATATCTGCAAAGACCGATGCACCATCATGTTCGTGTGGTCCAGATTCAGTTCTGTGCTATTGGTATAGCAGGATTAGGGATGAGTACAACTTTAAAGAAAAAATACAACAGATCATGTATTACTATAAGAATACCACCAGAATGGCATACAACATTCGTTACCTGTATAATACTGCCAGCCTGCCTCTTGTTCACCCCCAGTGATGACGGATGAATAGTACAACCGGCAAAGTTGAGACGCTGGATTGTGCAGTACCATGTTGCACTGCAGATCATGGAAACACCACCCCAAGCATGCAGCTTTGTCAGAAACACTGCGTTCAGTGATGAAGGTGTCATTGAACAGTTGTACATCCAAACTTCCATGTTGGTGAAATGTCAGAATGCCGCATGACTGTGAAGCTGAGCTGTAAGTCATGGTGATGGCGAGAGCTAGCTGAACAAATTCCCACACAACCATCCTCATGCTGCAAGTTTCTAGAATAGTTCTCTGTAGTTAGTGAACGGGAGAATATTTACAGCTCAATGTGTTAATTGGGGGTATGACACCAGTATTGCCTACACGCTCGGTTGCGTTGTAAACATGTTAATTGGCTGTGTGCACCAACCAATCACTGACAAAGTGATCCTGTGACTATCTTTAAGGAGCGGCTGTTTGAGATGGTGATGGTGAGAACAATCTGAACAAATCCTAACACAGCCATGCCCTTGCTTCTCGAGTCTGGGAATACTTCCCCGTAGTTAGAGAACGGGATGATAGTATGTATTAATCGATGTAACGACGTAAGAATTGACCACACGCTGGGTTACGTTTTAAACAAGTTAATTGGCTCTGTTCACAAACCGATCACTGATTCGGTTATGGCGTGATTATCATTAGGGAGAAACGTCCTTGTCATAAGAAAGTAACAGATATGTTTTATGTTTTAACAAGTTTCACTTAATGAACGGACGTCTGACAATGAGTCGCGCTGCTTGGCAGGTTCGATTATTTAATCTGTTTGTTGCAGTCTTTCAAGCTGCCGGAGGACCTGTTCTGGTGCCGCCATTGTGGTCTGCATTAAGTAGATTAGAGGGTTGATGACGAAGTACTTCCTGTTAACGACTTCATAGTGACAAACACATGCACCACAATGAACAAGTAATGAAGTCCGTTTGTGTAATATATAGAGGGTCATTTTCAGCTGTGAAAGCTATCCAGGAAAATACATTCTGAAAGTGAACACCCATAAGAAACTACGAAAAACATGCAGAAGTAATGATTTATTTTAATACGTACAAATATGCAAATCATTACTCGGAGAAGGAGATGGGCTGAGAAACAGTTCGTGCAGGAGTCAGACTGTTACATGGTAACGAAAGAGTGCCCAATCAGTCATTTACACTCCCATCAAAGTTGTAAAGGAGGCCAAATTCTTGGGTCTAATTTTTTATTCTCATTTAACCTTCTTGCCACACATTAAATCCCTTAGAGCTAAATGCCTGAAGGCACTAGATTTCGTAAAGGATGTTTCAAATTCAAAGTCGGGAGGGAATCAAACTACCCTCCTTCACTTATACAGATCATTGGTGCGGTCTAAACTTGATTATGGCTCCATCGTTTATGGCGGAGCCTGCAAAAGCAACCTAAAACTACTTGATTCTGTCCACCACCAAGGCCTAAGACTTTGTCTTGGGTCCTTTAGAACCTCTCCTATTGATAGTCTTCATGTTGAAGTAGATGAGCCTTCTCTTACACAGCGTCGTATAAAATTATCTTTACAATACATTACTAAACTATATTCTAGCGAGTCTAACCCTGCATTTAACTGTGTTTTCAATCTCCTCTATGAGGATTTATACAACAAAAAACCTTCTCTTGTTCCGCCTCTTGGGCACAGAATTAAACCATTTCTTTCTGCTGCCGGCATTGAGCTGGAAAATATAGCTCCTTCCCGTCTTCTTTCTTCTCCTCCTTGGCAACTGGTGAGGCCTGAAGTTGACCTAACTCTGACAAAGTTTAAGAAATCTGAAACTAATGAATTACAGTATAAACAAGTATATAATCAATTAAAAATCAAATATAATACATACAAATCCTTATTTACAGATGCGTCCAAGGACGGTGGCGCAGTGGCATGTGCCACTGTCATTGGATCCAGAACAATATCTTCTAAAATACCTGATAACAGCTCTATATTTACAGCAGAAGCAAACGCCATCTTAACAGCTCTTAAATATATTCATAAACAATATATAACATTTTCTGACTATTCGATTCCCTTTCTTGCCTTCAGGCTATTAAAAATCTCTCTTGCAAACATCCACTTTTAATTGAAATAATCGAATTATATAATGATCTTGCTACTGGCCAATGCGACATCGTCTTCTGTTGGTTACCCAGCCACGTTGGCATTTCTGGGAATACAATGGCCGATCTTGCTCCCAAGGCAGCACTCAACAAATCTGTGATACCACGTCTTATTCCTTACTCTGATTACAAAGCTAGCATTAGAACTTACATCTGTGATCTGATGCACAAGAAGTGGGACACCCAAGTAGGGATCAATAAATTACATGAAATAAAACGCTATATCGGTTACACTTACTTGGGTTGTCAGTCCAGATTTGAAGAGACCATCATGCGACGATGTCGTATTGACCAAAAAAGATACACTCATGCATACCTATTGAAAGGTGAGGATCCTCCGTTTTGTATCCCTTGTGATGAGAGAACCACGGTCAAGCATGTCCTGCTTGACTGTGTTGAATTCTCCATCATAAGGGATAAATGCTTCAATGTGAAAACCGTTTAGGATCTTTTTAACACTGTTAATTTTCATTTAATTATTGGCTTTTTAAGTGAAATTGATTTAATGAATGAATTTTGCATAATATGTTCTGTACATATATGTATTTTAATTATTGGTAGATTTGATTAGTAACTTGGATTGTTAGTGGCAGTGCCCTCAAAGGGGGTTGACGTAGCGTGAAATTATTGTCCTCCTGAGAGGGTACGTAAGGCCCAAAACATTCAAAGTAAATTTAAGCCTGCTACTATTTCAATCATAGAATATATGTTCGTTTAATTTATGGCTAGATTATCTAACATTGCTGATAGCTGAGGCTATGGTGTAAATCCAGCTAGGGTCCATGCAGGAAGCAAATGTACTGTAAGTCCCCGTGGTCCCTAGTATGGTGATCTACCTTCAGTTGTTGGCAATATATAGCCTGTTTTTACCTTGTATTGTCATTTATAGTTAAACTGTTTTAGATTTAATTACTAGTTTTAAATTCGAATCTGTGATGATCTAGTTATTTTACTGTCCTTCATTGACAGGTTTTTATAGTTTACCATTACTTACTATGGATAAAATTCATTGCTCTCGTCACGATATGGCTGAATTATTGCCACAAGTACCATATTTTAACGTCTTTTGATATCATGCGGATGGGGCTTCCAACCAACGACATTCTGATCTGCTCTATCCAAAAGATAACAGGAACAGATCCTATCACTTGGGATAGCTGTTACATCAGTGGAGGCAACAGGTCCCCAAATAGATGAATTATAACATACACCGATATGTTTGTCATGTTTTAATGAAGTATCAATTGCTGTCAATGCAATGTCCATTTATCGTTCCGAATACTCCCCATTTGGGCAAAACATACGCACAAAATAACTGTAAAGGCCTTCAGATCACACATTTTCACCTATAACAACCTTTTTGAAATCTGTTACGGATTTCTTAAACAAACTCAGATGTTTGTGGAAACAGGCATGTGATTTTTCAGGTTCATTGTCGAGTAGGTTGGGAGTTTGTCTAGTGTGCATTTTGAGGGAATTCAGGAAGATGAAAAAACACATTTGGAAAACGAATCACATGTGTCGAGATCAACAACAAACTTCAAATGTTGCGAGTATTATTTCTCTTTTGGACAAACTTGACTGAGACAAAATTTGCAGAAGCCAGGACATGCTCAGTCAAAGTGCATACACAAGGAGAAAGGCAAAAAGTTAGCAAGTAAAAGAATTATTACCAACACAAATATGTCAGTGATCGCTTGTTTATTGAAGACTCAGTTCTGTCAGGATGATGTTCGTTTATCTTTCGAAATTTTCCCCTGCGGGGGAATGATCATACTCCCGAAATCACTGCCACGACCTTTAGATTACACATCATTTTATCTGTAACAACCCTATCCAAATCTGCTGTGAAAAACATTGAAGAACAATGTTTGGTGGCAACAGGCAACGTGATTATTATCTCGCATTATTTGAGACAACTGTTCATTGAGTTGATATAGCCTCACCCGTTTGGCAATAAGGACATGTAGCGGGGCTACTTTCATTTTACAATCGGGGCAGCCTGTAAATAATCACGTCCAGACCAGACAATCAAGTGATCAACATCATGGCTATCCATCTACGGTATGGGGATACAACGACATGTGACAACAACGTCAGCGAGCCCCACCACCCGGACTCATGTCGCCTCTCACTACAAGCACGGGGTTCTGAAGAACAAACATGGTTCATTTGTTTCCAATTCTTACCACGCTTTTAATCGTATGAGTGAGTGAGTTTAGTTTTACACCGCTTTAGCACTGTTCCAGCAATATCAAGGCTTGGGGAAACCAGAAATGGGCTTCACACGCTTTTTATGTGCAATATGTGTTGTTTTAACACCTGACTAAAGGTGTCAGTAACCGCCAACACCTGTAGGTATTGTGTCAGTCCAGCCGGGGAAGCTACTGTTTGTTTCCACGTATGTATATCTTCCCTTTGTTTCCTATCACTGTATAGATTTTATAGATACCGTATTGCTGAAACACAACCGATGTGAGTTTAAGTTTTAACTCACTCAATTCTTGTTCTGGTGAGGAGATGTTTGTGAAGGGCTAACATTCCCGAACATAACCTTCATAATATACCTGTACCATCAATTTGGCCTTTGGTTTACTTCTATGTTTAAGCTAACTTAATGTTTGTCGTGAATTTATCAAGTATCACAACTTCTTGATTAAGGATATTTGATGATGTCCTGGACAATTATATGCATGTCAGAAATTTGACAAAACTGATTTCCATGGGTGTTCAGTGGTTTTCCGAATTCATTAAAATAATCAAAGATTGGTCGCAGTGACCAAACAACCAAGCAATTGGTCACATTTTCTCATAATCAAACTCAAACAAGTTTGGAGCTACTGTTTTAGTGTTTGAAACACTTGACGATGGAGCATATCTTATAAGTTGTCAGGGCCTGAAAACGTGTTTAATTGTCAGAAAAAACAGTTTACTAACTGAAAAGTCAGGACTGAATATTTCTTGAAGACTCTGGAAACTTTATGTTTATGTCATCACTTCAAATTAGCAAGTTGCATTATTTTACATTGCGTGTTAAATTTGCAAAGGCAATTTGCGCAGTTTCTACATAAAGCAAAACACAACAGAGAACTATGTTATACTTATGTGCAATAACAACCTAAACACATACATTGGAAAACTGACCATAACCATTCATTTTTAATAACTGCTCGTTGGTAATGAAACAATTATCAATTGTAAGATTTCGAACACTAATTACCAGCTTGTCAGAAATTTGAAATTCATGATGACGAAGTCATTATCTATCGTATCAGGAAATTTGACATTAATTATTGTTATATCCTGATTATGGATATTTGATCTACACTTGTTTGATGATGTCAGTACCAGTCTCTAGGGTATCAGAACATTTCACAAAAATGTTTTCCTTCATGATAATGGATTCAACGAACTACAAACACATGGCAATGGACTTACTCCTGGACAAAGGTACTTATGTCCCGTGCAGTGAAAAAGAGTCAGACAGTGTACTTCGGAAATTAAAGAACCTAACCAGTCAGTACTCAGAAGGGCTCACATCAAAGGTATTAAATTATATAACACATTTTGACTGCAAATCGAGCAATTTCTATGGCTTACCCAAAATTCATAAAGTAAACAGATCATAAGACATTGTGAAAGTGCTAAAAGCAGCTTTGTTGAGATGGAACACCCGGGAGATTTGAAACTCCGACCTATAATTGCAGGCCCAGCGTGTGCTACACATAGACTCAGTAATTTCATTGATATTTATTGAAACCAATCTCATCAAATGTTAAAAGTTTTACTCGTGACACCATGCATTTCCTTTCCTCCTTACCACAAAACGTTAATGAAACAAGCAAACTTGTAACTTTTGATGTAAAAAAATTGTATTCAAATATCCCACATAGCCTATGAATTAAAGCGTTGGATTATTGGTTAAACCGTTGTGAAGAACACATACCTGAGCGAATTTCAAAATCATTCCTTTTGGAAAGCGTTGAATTCATCTTAAAAAACAATATTTTCTTTTTTGACGAAAAGTACTATAAACAGATTAAAGGAAAAGCCATGGGAACCAAAATGGCGCCGACTTATGCGACGCTTGTCTTAGGATATCTGGAGGAAAAGTTCAAGCATAAAATCAGTCAAATTCTTGGAGAGGATGTTGCCCATTATTTCATGGAAAATTGGAAAAGATTTCTAGACGACTGCTTCATAATTTGGCCCTTTTCTGAGGAGAAATTAAATACATTTTACTAACTATTAAATAGCATGGACGAAAATCTTGTTTTCACTATGGAGGCAGATGAAACTATTAGACACAATGGTCATCAAATTGGGGCGGAAATTGGACACAGATATCTTCTACAAACCTACAGGTACGAAACAATATTTAAACTTCAAATCTTGTCATCCGAACCACACCAAAAAAAGTCTTCCATATAACCTGGCACGAAGAATATGTACAATAGTTTTAAACCTGGACACCCGCAATCAAAGACTGAATGAACTTAGGATGTTTTTGCTATTACGGGAATATCCAAAATCTCTTGTTGAAGACGGAATAAATAAAGCTTTACAGCTTAATAGAGAAGATCTTTTGACAGGAACGATGAAACAAACCAATGAGGAAAAAGTAATTGCTTTTGTATCTACTTATAATCCGTTGAACACAAATGTGTTCCAGAACATAAAAACAAATCTGTGCATCTTAGAACAAGATGAAAAACTGAAATCTATGCTGAAATCTAGAAAAATAATAAATAGCAAAAGACAAAATCAGAATCTTAAAAAGATACTCACAAAAGCCAAATGTATTTTAAAGAAACAGAATTTATCAAATCCTACTGTGTCTAGATGCAACAGAGGTAACTGTGGAACGTGTCGACATATTGTTGAAGGACACTCTGTAACTTTCACGAGACACGGAGAATTCTATGTAAAACAGAATTTTGACTGCTCTTGCAAAAACATAATATATGTCATAATATGCACAGGCTGTAATGAACAGTATATTGGTCAATCAGAAAATTTCAGAGCCCGGGTTCGTGTCCACAAACAACAAATAGAGAGTCCTGAAACCCGATGTATCCCACTGAGTGAACATCTTGATGTCTGTGCGAAAGGAAACGATGTTAAATTTACAATATTTCCTTTTTATCAAGTTCAAAATTCGCACAAAGTAAAACGAATTTTAAAATAACACTACTTCATAGACAAGTTCAAACCAATGTTAAACCATTGCAAGCTGTGACCTTGTCGCTCTAGAATGTTGTCCCTATTGTGACGTCACAATATATATGTAATGACGTCATACTGTAACCGCTACAATCTCCCTGAAGAGTAAAGAACGAAACATGTTGGAGAAAAAGGCATTCTGTTTTTATTTATCTATGTATATACATATATGTCTGCGGATCTAAGTCGACCATATCAGATTAATGTCTATTAATATATCGCTCATCTCCTACGTATATACGAGATATTAAGTACTACGTAGGGGATAATTTGTCCTGCGTAGGAGAAAATATGCCTTACGTAGGAGATATTAAGTCCTACGTAGGAGATAGTCAGACCAAACATTTTTTTCACCGTGGCCCTACTACGCTTTCGTAGTACTAAACTCTAACTTGAAACTCTACATATTACTGTAAGAGACAGTTATCACTGCGCGATCAAAGGTAACAAGAGTTTTTAAAACTCCCAGCGTTGTTGAGTGAGTGACTCAACATGGATTTATGCATAAACACCATACAAGGCATTGATTAGATTCATGTTCCCAAAGGAAAGACCAGCACGAACAAACACAGGCGTTCACTACACGCTCTCGCTTTATGAGATATACGACGACAGATGGTTGTTGTCACAACATGTACTCAGTGAGTGTTCAATAGCAAAAAACAGTCAGTAGTTTACAAACTAAATTAAAAAAGCAAGGTTTCTTTTTATCCACTATTATGTATCATTTAGCATGTGTTAGTTGTAGAAACGCTACACTTCAAAGAGTAAATAAGCACAAGAACTTCCATTTGTTTTACTTTGACAGATCACATAATGCCAATGTCATCGCTGGGCGTGGGACGTGGAGTGACTGAAAGGCAAATCAGCTCGGAATAGAAGTTGTGTTTCAAAGACAGGTATTTAACATGAAAGACTAGTGTAAATTTAGCAGTAATGACTTTGTAATAACGATCGAAATGGGTTTACCAATATGAATAATCTCTCCATATATGCCTATAAGTATAAAGTCAAGTACATGTAATGCCTTGCAAGTGGTATTGTTGATAAATATAACTTGACAAACGTTCAGCCATTATTTGGGCTGTGGGGTAGCCAAGTGGTTAAAGCGTTCACTCGTCACGCCGAAGACGCGGGTTCGATTCCCCAAATGGTTACTATGTGTGAAGCCCATTTTAGGTGTCCCCCGCCGTGATATTGCTAAAAGCTAAAGCTAAACTCACCCACTCACTTCATTATAACCGACACTGTCCATGTATTTCATGCAGCCCCGACTATTTTGCCGTCGCCCATGTCCGTGCATGAACCATACAGAGACATGTAACATGTTGCATGTTACAATAATGTCAGTAAAAGCTGATATCATCTAAATGCGTTTTCATGCAAGATTAAAGAGTTACAATGCCTTTAAGGAGATATGCAAATAAACGATAAGAAGGAATCTCGTAGCATGCTGTTACTCTATAATCAACGAGTGAGTGTGGTTTGCGCCGCTTTTTGTAATATTCCAGCAATATCTCGGGGTGGCCTCACACATTATGCAAATATGGGAAATTGAACACGGATTCACGAGCGAACGCTTTAACCACTAGCCAAGAAAACCGACCTTCCATGATCAACGAGGACACGTGACCAGAACATAATTTGTTAAACATCAAGCACATTCCTATGGTTGTTTTCATATATGGACACAGAAGATAATTTCATATGACGGGAAGCTATATAAGGAGCTTAGGAGAACGCATAACTTGTCTTTTGACACAATTTATCATCAATGAAGATCTTACCGGACCCGAGCAGCGCAAGCTCGAAGGGCCCGACAACTGGTCTTGTATAAGAAAGTCGAGGCGTCATGGGTGACCAGTGGGGTCATGCATCCTCATTAAGATGGGGGACGGGCCGGCGAGAAAGGTGGCCAACAGCACTTCGATGAAGTGTGCGAGTCTACTAAACTCAAGGTGGTGATTAGTCTGAGTCAAGACAAATGAATACTATTACAGTCATGAGATAACTTGTTTGAAATACCCATAATGCCCTTGTACGATCTCATGAAAAGTTACTGTCGATAGTCATCATGACTCCATACTTTACATCAGTATAACTGTGCATAAAACTGTGTTGTTTACAGTAACATTGCGCTTTTGCAGAGATTCACATGTGATGTAAATGAACAATTTATATGATTTAGATAAATATGATAATATGCGCTCATGAAGTTGTCAATGCCTCCCTTCACGTCTTCAGTCAGTGACACGCACCGCCAAATGTTAACTGTGAACGCCCTGCGAATGTTGTGAAGCACGTGCACGTGAGTGTGTGGGATGCACGAGAAGTGTATCCGTGCTCTAAATGCTATGTAACGGTTCTGTCTACTACAGACAGACAACGCGTACTTATAATAGATCGTCCATACAAGTAAACTGTGAGCTTCCTCCAATGATAACGAGTCCCAGTGTACCAACTTGATTGTTATGCATACTATGATTTTGCTTGCTTGGTTCCTCATTTCATTAAAATGCACATACGAATACACATTTTTTTGCATCTCTAACCAGGTGTAATCTTGAATACGAGTGGACGTTGCTTAGCATAACACTGACTACATGCATAATACGTTGTGTAGTATATGTGCAACATATACAGTAGTGCAGTATACATATTACAGTTAGGGCTGGACAGAAGGGCAAATAATATCGGTCTGTGACTGTGATACAGACTGGGACAAGGTATGGAAAACCAACAATTTGGACAACAGACCATTGTTTGGGTCTTTTAATTGTAAATATGATTCAAATAACTTAACCTAGATTTCAATATCCTTCGAATGTACATTTGGTTGAATCTGGAAAATATACATTAATCCCGAGACAAGAACGAATGTTTACAAATAATTAAAAGGTATGACAGCACGAGTATCCATTTTGTCTTTTGTCTTCTACCCGTCCCTACTAGACGAACAACTGGTCTTTGAAATGAACATATTTTACAGAAAAAAAGTTCATAGTAAAAAAGAGAAATACAATAAAAAGGAGCCCTGGGGCATTCTCCTGAAGCTGTGGAAATCTAGACTTTCCACATTTTCTAGACTTGCGTGGACTTGGATATATTTGCTTCTCGGTCTGTATGACAGACTACGTCCCTACATACGCTCAATCACAAGTGTCTCCAGGTCACGGAGAATCATTGGTGTAGGGGCTCGTATTGCAATTCTCGTGCGTTTGCATATTGATTCGATCACAATACTTTTCGTTTTACAGCTTTTGTTTCTCTAACATGCTGACCTCAAAACTGATTTAAATTCTAATCGCTGATTAAAGAGTAAGACAATAAATAGTATGCCAAATTATCGTTACCATGACAACCCTGTGATATTTCACCTTATGTAAGAGAGTAATAAATACGATGCTAGGTATGACAGTACTACTGCAGTTGATAGTGTCTGTCGTAAATTTTGATAAGTTGCTTCAACGCTATCTCTAATCACTGGGTATGTGTATACAATTATATGTGTGAGGGAGGAGATCTTGCGTCGCTAGTTTTCTCAATAATCTGAATACATGTATGTAGCGTGAAACCGGCAGATACCTATAGAAGAAAGTGTTTGCCCTACCTGTAACAACCATGTCCCTTGTATATAGAAGGGATATAATATGAGGATGAATGGTACGTACTTTTATCTTGGCCCGTTTATGAAGATAAATACTGCGATCTTTCACAATAATCTCTCTGGATATCAGATTGAGGGTACTTTTTAAACATAACTGGTATTTCAATTATTGTATTTATACAGTAACATTCTTCAAACGTTCTCCACATACGTCCGTCAGATACATCGCGCACAACCCCTTTCTTTTTGATCTCTCAAACGACTGTTACAAGTTCGGAAAATCCTGGTCAAAGTTGAAACGTCTTAAGACTATTCCCTACTATTCTGTAACATGCACATTGTACATAAAATGGGTAGAGCTTCCGTTCGGGGGAATATCAGAAGGACAGCGATACACTTGTCTCCAATGTTGTAGAAGACACTCCACTTACTTAGGAAAACAATAACCCAATGAGATATTGCATTCATGTCGGATTCAATTTTTTCGACCCCTATCAGATGTGAACTTGAACATGCGAGGTCTGCGTCTATGTCAGACCAAAGGTCTACGAGTTGTTTAGCAGCACTGGGGCGTAATAGTCATATAGGCCTGCTCCAAACAACGGAATATATATCTTTTGAAAAGGACTTCTCCGTCGGGTAAAGGTACAGCAATGCAACATTACGAAAAAAAATTGTTTTCACTATTTTTCATTTTATGTCTCCCAGAATATATAATTTGATGGGCGAGAGTTTTTAATATCGTTCTAACTTAGTCGAATTAAGTCAAAATGAACTGAAATTTGTGTCATGATGCTTATAAACATACACTCATTCATTTACAACCTCCAAAACATGAATCTGAGCGAAATTAGACATTCTCGCCCATGGGCCAACATATTTTTCGCCCATGGGCGAGATTTTGTAATACCGCCCTAAGTTAGTCGAATTAAGTCAAAATGAGTTGAATTTTGTGTCATGATGCTTATAAACATACACTCATTCATTTACAACCTCCAAAACATGAATTCTGAGCGAAATTAAACATTCTCGCCCATGGGCCAACATATTTTTCGCCCATGGGCGAGATTTTTTAATATCGCCCTAAGTTAGTCGAATTAAGTCAAAATGAGTTGAAGTTTGTGTCATGATGCTTATAAACATACACTCCTTCATTTACAGCCTCCAAAACATGAATTCTGAGCAAACTTAAACATGGGCCGGCCCATGAGCGAGCGAGTTTAATTCTAAAGCTTTCGGAAAACATTTTTTTCATTTTTTCATCCTTGGCATATGTTCATAACAACTGCATGTTTCATTTGGTCAAATCACTTGTCAGAAAGTACCCACAGTGCGGAGAGTTTCTGGACTTTTGTGAGTCCAGAATAAAATTGTGACGTGTTAATGACATTTGTTGTACTGTTAACACATCGATGGCTAACAGGTGGCAAAGTCTTGCCGCCATCAGTAACATTTGAAACAGATACAAAATATTCATTTAATGTTTGAGCTTTATCCAAATCTGTAAAAACTGAAGGTATCTCAGAATCATAAGTGACAAGAAGGGGAGTGGGCCCCGATAAAGTACTAACCACCTGATTGAGTAGACTGAGGTGATAAATAGTTATCAAAATTAGAATAAAAGTTTCCCTTGGCTATTCTTTTCAGATTATTTACTTTATTCCTTTGCATTTTGTATTTAAATAGCTCAGAAGTATTCAGAGATCGAAATGCTTTTTTTCCTTAGACGTTCTCATTTCTTTTAAGTATGTTACGAGGGGCGTTGAAAAAGTAGTCAAACTAACTATATTCTCGATGTCCAATGTTTGACAAGAAGCTTCCATTATATTTTGAAGGAATCATTAGCAAAGTCATGTCCAAAATTTCATGTGGGTAATGTGGTTAACGAGATATTAGTCATCACATCATTGGGGTATTATGTTTCATGCAAATTTGCAGAAAATGGAAAACGATCTCCCATTTGGTATCTAGTAATAGTAATAGTCCGCTTATATGGCGCTCACATCCAGGCACATTGCCTGCTCACGGCGCTACGTACATTACTGTCCCCGATCATAAGACACTATCGTAGTTTCCGATACTTTTTCAACTCCCTGGGGACTGTACAGCCATGGTGACTGTTAGGCGCAATGAACTAAACACTCACATTGCCAGCACATACTCACGGTTATCCATTTTACAGCAAGGTGAACTGAGACAGTGTAGATATAAGTATCTTGTCCAAGGATACTACGCAAATGTGCCCATCTCTGGAACCGAACCTCGGTGCCTCCTCGAAACAGGGCCTTCAGCGTGATAGGCAGACGTCTTACCACTGCACTATTCCGCTATCCTTTGGATAATGGTATACCCTCAGATAGTATCATATAAAATATGTTCAGCATAGTATTGGATGACTTCCCGTCATCATCAAAATTCAAAGATTTGGATTGCTTGATTTACATTTAGACGGGGACTGTTTTTTTAGGACACCCTCATTTTAAATTTTCAGTTTGAACCCTTGGCACCATGTATGAATAAGTGAAAACCTTTAGGATGAGTTATATCCTTATGATGACGTCAACTGAAAGGGGGTGGGTAGTGTCTCAAAAACAAGCCCTTTCAGTAAACATGAAGGGGGAGTCACTTGAACAAGCGATTATAGTTTCAATTTCCTTTTTGTGCAGTTTAATATTTAAGTTTGACTTTTACCAACATACAACATGTTTTTTGAATATTTTGTTTCAATTGGTGTAGGGGGATTCCCGCCAATACACCTTGATATAAAATTGGATCAAAATGTATTAATTCTTTCCTAAGTTCACGGCTACCAAGCTTGGCATGTGCAAAACTGTTACACCTTCGCTGTGACCTTTAAAATGACCTCAAGGTCACTAAATTCAAGTGGTATCGGTAAACCTCGCCAATAAACCTTGGTACCAAATTTGAATAAAATCCATATTTTCTTTCTCGAGTTCTTTCAGTAAACCGGAGGGGGAGTCATTTGAACAAGCGATTGTAGTTTCAAATTGCCTTTTGTGCAGTTTAGTATCTAAGTTTGATTCTAGCCGATCTCTACCAATTTCAAACATACAAAAATGTTTCTTGCATATTTTGTTTCCTGCAGTTTAATTTGAGATGCATTTCATTGCTAGTCAGCTAGGCAATTCCATACCGAACCACAACATACGGAGACAGATCATTTAGCAGACCGGGTGTTGTACTCTGGAATTGATTACCTGATAATTTCAGAAAATCGGAAAATATCAACAGTTTCCGATCTTGTCGCAAAACCATCCTCTTCAAACAAGCATTCGACTAAGCGCACATGAGCAGGACTCTGGATATGTAGCGCTATACAAATGTCTAATTTGATTTGATTTGATTTGATATACCTGTTAGAAAGCAACCCCCACCCCACTCCACTTTATATTTATACATATCAAAACCTCAAAAGATATTTGCGAAAAGACATGATACAGAGGACAGTAAGAGATTTTATATCGATTATATATCAGGACGAATATCATTTTCGTCATTTGGCTAAGATTTGTCCGTTCTTTCTTGGGTTATTGCGCTAACAATCTTTATATTGGCAAAACCCTCAGATTTTTGCTGTGACCTTGAAAATTATCTCAAGGTCACTCCATTTCACTTGTGTCGGTGAATCTCGCCAATATACCTTGGTACCAAATTTGAACAAAATCCATCATTTCTTTCTTGAGTTATCGCCCTAAGAAGCTTATTTGATGTATGAAATGCAACGAAAAACAAACATCCGCGTATTTACGACTGATTAAAACTGATTAAAAGAGGTTTGTACGTCGCACACCGCTTCTGGAGGCAGCTAGAGATGGTCAAATTCACGTAGTTGACTTCCTTGTGTCCCGAAACGCTGACGTCAAGAAGGTGGACAATAAGGAGAATAGTCTGCTACACGTTGCTTGTATAGGTGGACATCTTGGTATGGTGAAACATGTGTGTCCATGGTTTAACATTGATAACAGAGATGTATATGGGTGGACACCTGCAATCGTAGCAGCTGTCTTTGGAAAGTCTGCAGTGTTTGACTACCTCAGACGACAAGGTGCAGATCTGACACTGGTTGATAGGACTGGAGATGATTTGTTCACTCTCGCCCTTCAGGGAAGATGTAGACAATCATAGAACGATTATCACCTGATGGTCAATATGTGAAGAAGCACACCCCTTGGACAATACTGATGAGATCCGTAGTGACTGGATCTTTTGAAAAGTTAAAAGTTTGCCATGACAACAGTCCTGAGTTTGTGCAGACAGACCAGTTTGGAGACAGTCTGCTTCATCTGGCTTGTCGTGGAGGCAACAGGAAATGTGCAGAGTATCTGCTCCCGTCCTATGACATCAATGTCCGAGGTCGGTATAACTGGACACCGGTGATGATGGCGGCTGTGTGTGGACATGAGGATGTCTTCCAGCTGCTGGTGGACCACAAGGCAGATCTTGCCTTGCTCTCAGACACAAGAGAATGCATCCTTATTCTGGGTCAGAGAGGGCAAAGCAATGACATTGTGGAATGTCTGAGGAATAAGTCAGGAAATTAATGAATGAGAAAGATTTGTAAATAGGGTGGGCAGCCGATGGACTTTCCTAATAACTTAAGAATGTCAAGGATCATTCTGGACATCATAGATTTAATTCTTAAATATACTGATACACTGTGAGAATGCACAATGAGTATGAACAAGAAAACAGCAAAGGAATTGTGTAAACACCAGATGACACTTCAAATGAAACCTGTAATACGACATTGTTGATTTTGATGATCTTATGCCTAAATAAGCAGAACAATCTGATGTTTGTGAGGTCAAATTTGTCAAATAAATACAAAGAATCTAGTATGTATTTTCAAAGCGTCTCAGTATGCAACTTGAATATGCCCATTGTCTTAAGTGAATGTTTGGAAGATAATACCTTCTTGTGCTGTATTGTCAAGTATTTGACACTTGACTCATCGATGTTCCACAGCTATTGGTACCAATTGTAATCAGATGTTGTAGATATGTAAATAAATGTCTATATCGTTTTGAGACATACTGCTGCAGTACATAGGTGTTGCTTTTACTCCTTGCCATTTAAATATGCCTTGACTAGTCTGATGGCTGCAAATGGGAAAAATTGATAATGATGTACATTCAGTAATTACTAGATGTTTATTTCATTCCTGACAACCAAAGGTCTGTATGTCTGTATGTCTGTCTGTCTGTTGAATTCCTTTCATAACTTCTCTCACTCTTTCAACGTTGTCAAAAGGCATGCCTATACAAATCGATGTGTTCTAGGGAGTCGGAGAAAGACACAACCCGACGTCTGTCTGTGTGTCTGTCTGTCTGTGTGTGTGTCTGTCTGTGTGTCTGTCTGCTTGCCTGCCTGCCTGCCTGCCTGCCTGTCTGTATGTATGTCTGTCTGTGGAAATGTTGTAAATTATTCACATCTTATTTATTACATGCTCATTTTAAGACATAATATAATGCAAATGGTAGTAGGTCCATTGATTTTCAGTTAAGCACGTAGATATAACTGACGTATTAACACGGCTCACAACTCGGTGACTGTCTGTCTGTCTGTCTCTTTGCCGGTCTGTCTGTCCGTGTGTCCGTCGAATTCCATTCATAACTTTTCTCATTCTTTTCACGTTCTCAAACGAATGTGTGGGAAAGGCATGTGTGTACATATCGATATGTTCTTGGGAATCGGAGAAAGATACAACCCTACGTTTGTCTGTCCGTCTGCCCGTCCGTCCGCCTGTCGAATTCCATTCATAACTTTGTCTGTGTACATGTCGATGTGTTCTTGGGAGTCGGAGAAAGATATTTTCTTTCTCCCTTTTTGTAATGGCATTAAAGAAGTTGTGAGTTAACTTTGATGGACAATTAGACTGGTCGACTATCGTGCAGATTGTTAATATACTCATTGTACAGGTACAGATTTGATATTGTACATAGACTTATTTAGATGTTGCATTGTATATATGTGCTCCTTTTTACCCAAGAAATGCTCAGTATCGTAGCGCTACGACAGTCGTAACTCCCACACTTTAACATAGACTTACGACTGTCGTAACTCCCACACTTTAACATAGACTTACGACTGTCGTAACTCCCACACTTTAACATAGACTTACGACTGTCGTAACTCCTACACTTTACATAGACTTACGACTGTCGTAACTCCCACACTTTAACATAGACTTACGACTGTCGTAACTCCCTTACTTTAGCATAGACTTACGACAGTCGTAACTCCCACACTTTAACATAGAATTACGACTGTTGTAACTCCCACACTTTAACATAGACTTACGACGGATGTAACTCCCACACTTTAACATAGACTTACGACGGATGTAACTCCCACACTTTAACATAGACTTACGACTGTCGTAGCGCTACGATCGCTTTGAGGAACGGGGGCCAGACCCTTAAATATATATCTACATTATTGGTAATAATTGTGAATTGTTCTTTATGGTGTCCTGTTTGTCTACAAACTATAATTTATTTTCAATGTTAAATGAACTATTATATGAGAAAGAAATTGTGTACTCGTTGTAATCTCACCTGTATAAATTTAGAATTTAATATAGTACTTCAGAACTCCTGACGAAAAACGTATTATTTCATATTTTAATGATGACAACAAATGTACCAAAAATAGCATTCCAGATTTTGTTTGCCTGAACGGGTAACAGCATACCTCTGCTTCATTAACTGTTGGAGCATATTGTAACACGTGGTTGTGTGTTATGTAATTCTGTTTAGATATAAATGTAAACATTTGAGAATAACTCTTAGTTTTACTTACTTGACACCATATATTTACATCGTATATCCCAAGTGAACAAACCAAGTTTTATGTAAAATAGATGTTGTAACATGCTGTGGCCAACTTTGTTGATGAATGACAATAATTGTGTGTTAAATACTGAATGCCCTTATATTGTTTACTGATGTGTGTGTGTCTGTGTATTGTGTGTGTGTGTGTGTGTGTGCGTGTGTATATGAGTGTGTCTCCTAGTATTTGTATCGTCTATTCAAAGAAAGTCTGAGTTGATGTATTTCTCTACGTATGTGGCCAGACACCACCCTGAGCGTCTGCTCTGTTTCTGTAACAGAGAGTCAGAAATAAAAATATGAATCGTGTTATGCACTTTGTGTTATCTACCTCAAGCTGACTGGCTGCTACCGAATAGTAGCTTGCAGGTTGTTTACCATAGTTGTTTGTGCATGACTGTAATGAATCGATATGATAATCGAACTTCCTGACATTGATGCCAAACATTGACGAGCTGTCTTCCCTTCTTTCATTAATGTAAACAATATAAATCATGTAACATGTGTTATATTTGGGATTACACTTTCTTAGTAAAGTACAGTTTCTAGAACGTTTTGTTGGGTTGAGTCCCATCCGGGATTCGAACCCACACCCTCAGAGTCAGGCACCAACTCGCCAGCACACAAAGTCAGCCGTCTAACCTGCTCAACCACAGCGACTTCCACAAAAATGGAAGTCGGACAACTGATAGCCTAGACTGCGGACTTTGTGTACCCCTCTGATAAGTGTAAATTGGCAAGGCTCCCATGGTCGAAAGCTATGATTTTCCATAGATTACGTGTGGTGTCTATGTTCAATTCTTGTATTATAAACATGTTAATTGGCTGTGTTCACCAGCCAATCACTGACAAAGTGATCCTGTGACTATCTTTAAGGAGCGGCTCTTTGAGATATGAATTATATATTATAACACAATTCCTTTTAGAAAGAAACATGTTATCACATTGAAAAACACTACCCAAAACAATCATGTTTGTGTTTCTTTTGCAACATAATAGTGCCAACTGTCACACGTTCAAAACAACAACTTACTTTAGTCAATGTACAGTGAACTACGTATAAAACGAGGAACATGGAACTGACAGATATAACAAACTGTTTTTATATGCCTGCAAGTTCAGCCTCAAGTTAAGTTGCAAAGTGTCTGAAAAGAGTGGCGTGGAGTGAAATTCAATCGGGGCGGGTGTGTTTTCTCCATGTCGCACATTGGAAGACAAAATGATTAATTCAGTGTGTCAACATGTTTTGCTGTCGTGTTTTTGTTCTGATCACCAGTGGAGTTGTGACGAAATATAATTGGGTATCATATCGAGATTGTTGGTTTATGTTCCTTTGCATCAGACAGTGATAGAACGATGCCTTGTTTTTGTTGATTTTTTAAAATTATTGTTAGTATTATAGGGTGTATGTGTAGCTCACATATCCAGGCAACTAGTGCATGCTCAAGGCGCTGAATAAACTTGAATAACTTAAGATGTGTGTATGTTCAGACAAGGGCGGTAAGTGCTATACCAGGGAGAATGACTTTATAACTGAAAACCACACGCTTTTTTCCACAGAGAGACATGAGTTCATTTATGTCTACATATCAGTTGTTAACTGGCTGCTACATGTCGCCTAAGCCCGTGACAAAAGACACTATGCCGCTTGGTGAAAGGGTGCTTGTGTACAATGGGCTGTGTTTGTCATACATAACGGAGCAATCGAGCGTGTCGTATCCAGAAATGAAACCAAACCAAACCACTGCGCAATACTCCCCACAGCAGCTTATGAACGCTTATGATAAGTCATTTGACGTATATACCTACGAGTCTGTTACTGATAATGTTTGCGTCTGCGTGATAAACTGCGTGTTTTTCTTATAGTTTGAAACCCTGTACATTAAACATCTCACGTGATCACGATCAATGTGGTGATTGGTTGAATCACGGCAAACACCCACCCATTGTATTCAGGCTTTCAAGCACTTCGAAACATTACTCGTCAGTTCTCTCTCACGTGACTCCTTCTACTCGCTGAGTTCAACCTCAGTAAAAGTTGTTTTGCACAACGACATCATGGACTCCGGGGGTTCGCTTCGCTATCTCGTGTGCTCCCTGTTACTCCTCATCATATCATATAATCTAGATCAACCTTCTACTTACAGGTAAGTCACGTTTAATCCACGCATATTTTCGAATGGAATGATGTGACACTGAAACACTCGGTGCCCAATATTAGGTTACCAAACAGACAGCATTTATACCACCATGTTACTGTGATATACATGCACGCGTATGTTATATTTTTCAACGTGTCTCCATGCTGAAACAGTCTAATTTCGCTTACTTTTTCAACAATCACATTTAAATTACTAAAGTAGTAAATTATGTAATATCAACAAGTATTTTCCCTGAATCTCTTAATACGTGTGACAATCTTTGCTTTTTTACAAATGTTTGATAAGTTGATATGTTTATCAGTTAAGATATTGGTAATAACTTACAGCATAATCGTTGAAATATATGATTGAAAAAGAAATACGATTTTAAACATGAGCCACCAAATAAGTTAATGCCAATGGATGTTTTACCATGAGATATATAGTTTGTGTTTGTTTGGCCAGTCCTACATTTAATTCATATTAGACTATCACTTATCTGTACAACAACATCTGTACATGATTAGATCAGAAATTATTATTTCATTAGATTTTCACGTTTACTAAAGTACAAACGAAGCTTAAAAGGATTTTGTTGGATGTCAAAATGACACCAACCCCAATCACCACCACCATCACCCGTAATGTCCATGGTGTCGACCTCTGGATTGTCTTGGCCAGCCTCGATTATATAGGTTATATACAGACCGCCGCCATTTATCCGACCAACCAACCTCGCAAGACAACATCTACCAGCAAACCCATGGGTTCACCTCTGTTACCGCTAATCACCGAGATCTTCATGACCAGCTTTGAAGAGATAGCCCTGACTACATCCCCTTTCCAACCACTCTGCTGGTACAGAAAGGTGGATGACACCTTCACCATCCTGGATCCGGACCACGACCCTGCCATCCTCCTCGACCATCTCAGCAAGCAGCACCTGCGCATTCAGTTCACGATGGAGGCAGAAGACCAGCAGAAACTGCCGTTCCTAGACGTAGCCTTGCTGAACTCCTCCGACAACATCACCTTTTCCGTCTACAGAAAACCCACCAACACTGACCAGTATATACATTACCTCTCCAACCATCACCCCCCAGATCAAACGCGCCATTGTATCAACCCTAACCACACGAACTAAATCCATCTGCGACCTTGACCAGCTCAAAGCTGAAATAGACCATCTATGAACCACATTCATGAACCTCAACGGCTATCCAAAACGTCTTGTAGACAGAACCATAGCATCGACCCTACAACAGCAAGGAGAACGCAAACCCAAACTATCCCCGATTAGAATAAACATCCCCTACCAAGGTCAGATCAGTCACCATATCAGCCGACTGCTCAAGAAAACTGCCGTTATCCTCGTAGATGTAACCTACAGCTCTGAGGGAGTGAGTTTAGTTTTGTGCCGCACTCAGCAATATCCCAGCTATACGGCGGCGGTCTGTAAATAATCGAATCTGGACAAGACAATTCAATGATCAACATCATAAACATCGATCTGCGCAATTGGGAAACATGTGTCAACCAAGTCAGCGAGCCTGACCATCCGATCCCGTTAGTCACCTCTTACGACAAGCATGGGTTACTGAAGGTTCATTCTACCCCGGACCTTCACGGGTTTTCAGCTCTGGCAAAACACTAAAGACCATTCTGAAGGCCAATGGTAGATGTACCTCAACCAGCACCACTCACAAGCCCAGGGGGTTGTATCTACAAGCTAATGTGTGACTGTGGCAGCAGCTATGTTGGAGAAACACCCCGCCCATTGATATTAGGCTCAAAGAGCACAAACCTTCGGTAGAGAAATCAGATCTAAAGTCTTTCTGAACATATTGTGAACAATCCATCACACTCCATTGACTGGCAAGCAACAACCATCATAGCGTCGAGCATCCATGATTCAATTAATATAACAACAATCAATATACTTAAGACATTTCATGAAATTTCCTTTCATCTATATGTGGTGGACAGGGGTTTGTATGTTGTGGCTGCTCTGGACACAGCGAGTGTCAAACAAACAGATGTAAATGCTTCAAAGCCAAGCTGAAGTGCAATACTCACTGCCACAATAGTTTTAACGTAAGTGATAATGTAATTAAGTTATAAAGTGAAATTTCATGAAATGACTTAAGTATATTGATTGTTGTTACACAAAATGACACGAAATGGCTGTCCCTCTTAGTCATTTCATGAAATGACTGATTTCACAATCTGACTATAACATATGTAGAGGGTATATGTTGTTTATAAGTCTTTGGTACTCGGAGGATTGAATTTAAAACATTAACATATTAGTTGTCACTGATTTTTTATCAAATCACCAATGGTAATTTTACTACGTCGCCGAGAAACCTAAAATCGGTTGGGATGTTTTGGAAACTACACGAACACGAACGTTTAAGTAAATTTCCACCATATTTGATAGTATGTATAAAATCACCTTTCGCAAAGGCTGGCCATGAGAGGCCTAATAGAACTTTTTTGTCTATCTACAAATCCTTTGAGCTTTCTACTCAAAAAAGAGAAAGGTTACCATCACGGACCTTCTCAGCACAGATCCCCAACACCACTTACTCATCTCCTTAACAAGGATGATATCGAGCTCCCTACCAAAGGAGATACCAATTTGAAAGAGCAGGTTCCCCTTGTTGAGTCCTTTTCTAATGATATTGGCATGGCATTTAGACTAGACAAATGTAATACTCTTCATCTGAAACGTGGCAAGGTAGATAATGATGGATCTGTCAAGTTACAGAGTGCCCAAAGTCAAGACAAACTTCCGTCCGAGTACAAATCTCGCTTAAAGAAAATCTGGAGCTGAGAGCTAAATGCTCGAAACAAGGTTAAAGCCACCAATACCTTTGCTGTGAAAGTCCTTTCCTATTCCTTTGGAGTAGTTGATGGGACAAAACAAGACATCCAGAGTCTTGACCGCCTGCCCAGAAGGATCATTTCTGATAACACCCTCGTTTCTCTCAGTATATCTGCACTGTAATATCTACAGTTGGAATCATAAGTAATATACTGAAAAAGGTGGGTTTTAAGTCTGGACTTACAAATGTCAATTGTGTCAGACCTTTTAATGGCACAGGGGAGAGTGTTCCAGTAGATTTTGTGTGTTTGAAGTTGCATGCGGGAACATACGGATGTAGGAGCTCAGACAAGTAGGAGGAAGCCAAACCATGAAGGCACCTGTATGTCAGACAGAGGTTATTAAAGTTTATTATGGTTTTAACCGGTAGCCAATTCAGTTCTTTCAACACCGTTGTAATATGGGAACGTTTAGTAGTCTTGCTTGTGATTTGGCCGGAATTGTTTTGGATCTTTTGAAACTTGTTGAGGAGGTTAAAACTGAGGCATGTAAGGATGCTGTTACAGTAATCAAGCCTCGATGTAACAAGAGATCGAACAAGACTTGAGTTGCAGCAGTTATCAGGTATTGCCGAGTGTTATTAACTGATCTCATCCTGTTCAAACGGTTAACAGGAACACACAGAGTCAAAGAAGAGTCGATGTAGACACCTAAACCCTTAACAGCGTCAGAGTAATTGATGTCTGCGTCTGCAACGGTAAGGAAGTCGGTTTTGACCTTGCCAAACTTTGTAACAATGAGAACTGCGTCTGTTTTTGTGTTTAAGCATATTTGCTGTCATCCAGCACTTGACGTCCTGTGTACATTTGACGATGCACTGAACAGACATGGAGAGATCTGACACATGAAATGCTTTCAGGAGTTGGGCGTCATCAGCACAGACATGGAGAGAAACTGTGTGGTCTGTAGTAATCCTTCCGATATATCCAGTATACAAGGACTGATCCTTGTGGCACCCCACATTTTATGATAGTGCCTTTTGATCTCTCAGTACCAAAGACAACAGATTGCTGTCAGTCAAAAAGATAAGACATCATCCATTGAAGAACGTGGCCTTCAAGTCCGTACTGTTGTTTGAGTCTAGACAAGAGTCTATGGTGGTCGGTCTCAGAGTGTAAGGCCTCAGAGAGGTTGAACAGCACTAGGACCGACACTACTGCAACTATCTCGTGTCTGACCGATCTGACATACGTCAAATCCTGTCAACCTATCTTCTCACTTCATCTTCAAAACCAAAAATAAAACTTCCGAATCACAAATACCAGATCAAATGCCAAAGCCAGAAACAGAAACTGTGTGCCAAAAAATAGGAATCAAAACAAATTACAGAGACTAAAGCAGCTTGAGCAACTGCCAAACCCAAACCAAATGCCACCTCACCTTCAGGGGCTCCCCCATCGAGGTCCATACCTGCTTTGGTCTTCTGGATATGGAGGTCACCTCATCTCCATCCTGACACCAATAGGAGTACTTCAAACGCTTCCTCACGTTCACGTGACATGTCACCGGTGGAAGCACCATGAACCCACAAAACCTGATTCGATGGAACTGCAAAGGACTCAAGAATAAGTTTAATGAACTACAGTTATTGAGTCAAGACTTTAAACCATCCCCGCTTTGTCTCCAAGACACCTACCTAAAAAGGACTGCTAAATTTGACATCCGTCAGTACAGTTTCTACCACTCCTTTTCTCCTCTCGGTGTTAAAGCTACAGGAGGCACTTCTATCCTGGTGAGGTAGGGCATCCTCCATAGCCCTGTACCACTTAACACAAAACTACAATCTGTTGCTGTCGGCATGACTCTGAACATAGGGTTAACACTGTGTCCACTCTATCTTCCTGCTTCCACAACTGTCCGCTTATCAGTTGTTCATGGGAGAATTAACGGCCATAACCCCCAATGGGGGAGTACCGATACAAACAAGGGAAAGGTTCTTCAAGATTTCCTCTCAAATAATGATCTATGCATCTTCAACGATGGATCAAACACTTATCTCCATCCTGCCAATGGAACATACTCTGCTCTTGATCACTTAGGGATTCAAACATATTAAAAAGGATTGAATGGTCGGTTCACAATTCTTACTCCTATCACGCCCGCTGATGAACCACCTTCAACCAGATAGAATTTTAATGGCCAATTGGCCATTATTCCAAACCCTATGCTCTAAAACACTATTTCAGGAATGTTCCTGATCCAATAGAACTATTTTTAGACCTCTTAAATACTTTTGAGACAAAACCATTTCTGACTCCTCTGCAAACCCGCACATACTCAAATCATGGTTTAATGCACATAGTAAACAAGGAAAATAGGAAGAACATGATACTGTGCATAACCTGAATGCCGTTAAAATGACAAATGCCAGGGCATGACGTACCTTTAAACAAACTAAACGCCGTTAGTGGAGGAAATATGTGTCCAAAATCAACCCCTGCACACCCATGTCCAAGGTGTGGAACATGATTCAAAATATTGAGGGCAAAGGATCAAAATCTGATGTTCGCAATCTCAAAAAGCTACCTGACTCGTGTCTAGATTCACTACTATATAAATATATGCTGACGTTTTGACAACGGGAAAATTCCACTCTGTCTGATTATTACCAATAAGATCAGGGCGTCCCTCAAGGCAGCATCCTGTCTGTCACACCTTTTAGTATCAAAATTAAAAGCTTCATTAAGGTCTTGAACAACTGCGTTGATGGATCCCTTTTCGTGCATGATTTCAATATTTTATGCCGTGGTAAGAATATGTACACAATAGAAAGGCAGCTACAACTCTGCCTTAACAAATCCACAAATGGGCCAATGAAAAATGGCTTTAAGTTTTCAAGCTTCAAAACAAATTGTATTCACTTGCCATAAATACAAACCACATAATGATCCAGATCTATTTTTAGATGGTTCTCCCATCAAGGTTGTAGAAATCCCGGGGACTCATATTTGATCAATACCGTACTTCATACCACAAATAAAAAACTTAAAAACCAAATGCATGAAGTCCACAAATCGGTTCAAATACAGACTGGGGGAGGGGATCAAACTACCCTCTTTCACTTGTACAGATCATTGGTTCGCTCTTATCTAGACTTCAGCTCCGTTGTCTATGCAAAAGCAATTTAGAAAGATTAGATTCTATCCACCAACAAAGCCTTAGGCTCTGCCTGGGAGCTTTTAGGACCTCTCCAGTACACAGTCCATATGCAGAGGCAAACGAACCTTCCCTTGAACAACAACGCCGCATTAAACTTACACTGCAATATATCTCTAAATTACGTTCAAATCAGTCAAATCCAGATAACAATTGTGTTTTCAACACTCTATGAAAAGCTGTTTCCTATTCTGCCAAGCCTGGTTCCACCACTTGGAATCAGAATTCAACACATATCTGCAGCTAAAATTAATCTCAATATCATAGCACCTTACCAGCTTCTGTCTTCGCCACCGTGGCAGATGGTGAAAGCACAGGTCGATCTTACCCTCACTAAACTCAAAAAGTCCGAAACAAATCCTTTGGAATACAACCAGTTACGTTCACACTATAGATCCATTTTTATTGACGGATCCAAGCATGATGGCCAGGTTGCCACTCAATTGGATCAAGTCCGAAACAAATCCTTTGGGCCATAGCCATCTTCGCGTTTGACGTTCCAAGTCATAAAACTTCATCGTTTTATAGATCCATTATCTTGCCTCCTTCAAAATTTTTCATTCCTATCATCCTGGACATACTAGAACTTTACATCTTTCTAAGCATGTGATGGTCCTTGGGTTGCAGGGTTGCTTCTGGGTAACACAAAGGCCAATGCTGCAGCTAAACACATCATGAACTGATGACAACTTCAAACCCACTATAAAAGTTATACCTACCTTTCACAAATGGGGGACACTTGTCAAGTCAAGATGTGATGAGATACCTACTTTTGTCAGACGATTGATGAGATAATTTTAAGACGATTGGCCACAGTAGGTTTACATGGATGGGGATGGACCTCCCATGTGTGTCTCTTGCAATGAAGTGTTCAACATCAAGCATATTTTGCAGACTTTACAAATGCAAGGGATTAACATTATGAAGTGACAAATCTGAGAGTTCTATCTTCCCGCTTGAGTGGGCATATCTTTGTTAACTACCTGTATCATAAATTGTAACGAATTTCTTGCTTTTGAATTTGGTACAATGACATTTGTTGTTTTTAAATAATAATGTAATGAATATATATGTGTTTAAATAATAAAACTGATTTGGACTTTGTGCTTGAAATGTTGACTATATCGCTGGAATAACGCAGAGGTGACGTAAAGCCCAACATAACTCAGCCTATAGTAAAGATAGGGCGTGTTGCCCAGTAGTGAAGGCTGCCATCGGTAGCCATTGTGTCGAAGCGTAGCACAGCAGCAGACCCCGGGAACCAGGCTGCTTTTCATACAGGCTTTGAATAGCACTCGACTTTCAGGGTTATCCGGAGCAGACAATTAGTGACGGTTCAAAGAACAGTTGTGACAAATGATAACTTGCTGATTTATTTGGAATTTGGAGTGGTATTTTGTGTTTCAGTATATTGACGTCAATACGTCCTTTACAAATATATTACTTCCTGATATTGTTAGCAAACACAGACACATTACGGTCATATATTTTGCAAACACTGGCTTATCGATCCAGGAACGTTACTCGTTCCTGATGCTGTTAGAAAATTTGCAGATTTCTTTAACAGGAACGAGGAAAGTGTATCTTAACCTCATTTACACGTGTCAAAATAATCGACAATCCATCGAAGCAATGACACTTCGGATAGAACAAATGTATAAGGCACATCATTGAAAAAATACTATGAAAACTTGACGTTGTGAAATATCTAGCAGCAACAGGTTTGGTAAACAGGGTTTGCTTGTCTGTGTGCGTGACAACGATTCCCTGTGAACGGTTCTTTGTTAATATTACCTTTTGATTCATATAATCAAACACAACAGGATTTAAGCCTGATCTGCTGTGAACAGATCATTAGTAGCCAACACCGCTCTACTTATGAAGAGAAATACCCACTTTAGGGACGGTTCATAATTCATGGCAAAGGGGTTTAATGATGATTTTTATGCATAAAAGCATGTACAGTGTGAATGACCTACCACCTCCCCCCCCACTAAAAATTGCGTACTAAGTAAGTGACCCCCCTTGCATATCATGTTCAAAATCAATGCCCCCCTCCCACTTTCCATATGTTTTAAGCAAAATGTTTTAATATTTTTATGTACAAAATTGCTGACCCCTAGTATGTGTGTATAAAGTGATGCCCCCCACACACACACACACACCTCCCAAGAACAAAATAGGTGACCCCCCGGTAATACTCATCATCAACCCCAGCCCCCCATCTCCCCACCCTTTTTCATTTACCTTTAATTGGTGCCAAACAGGTGCGCGTGTTGTCCACATTCAGTAACATAGTCAAAACCGCCTTAGCGTTCATCTGTTGAGACAACTCACAACCGTAACTAGGGAATTGATTAAGTCTCCTGCACGGAATGTTTAAACCTCAGTTGCCCCTAAGTATCCTTCTAGATTTAAGGTTTAACAAAAGCAGCATTGGGCAATGGGCGTAACATGTTGTTAAGGTTATCTTATGGTTTACCTAAGTCGCCAAGTTCAACCTCAGTAAAGGTTGTTTTGCGCAACGGCACCCTGGACTCCAGGGTTCCCTTCGCTATTTCCTCTGATCCCTCTTACGGGTGATGATTTCATATTATCTAGATCAACCTTCAAGCTACTTGTAAGTTTTGTTTAATCTACGTTTATTATCGAATGAAATGATGTGACCCGGATACACTCGGTGCCCAATATTACAGCATTTATACCACCATGTTACTGTGTATACATGCACACGTTTGCAAATCATGCAATATTAGTAAGTCGTTTTCCGTAATCTTTCCATCTTCTACCGAGATTGTCTCTTCGGGTGGCAAAGAAGAAGTACCACATATTGCAAGCCAGGTATATGCGAATCTGGGACAGCTCTGGGACAGAAACAGAAACACACACAGAGACAACTTCCGGCATGACAGATGGCTTCGAGACCCTGCTAGAAAAGTGTCCCCATCTCTTCCTTTCCGATAAAGAGAAACACGTCCTCAAGCAATCGGGACTCACCTTCTACGAGCGGTACCAAATCCCTTGACAGTTTTGCGAACTCTATTTGCTGTGCTTTTGACGATTCGCAGAAGACGGCAAAATAGTTGATGTGGGCTACCTCTACCCGCCCACCCAGTTTCGACCCCTGAGCAGGCAAACTCCGACTCGTTCTCGTCGACTGCCCGGAAACCCCCATTCTCTTCGAGCACCACAACTCGACTTGCAAAATGCGACACTTCAGACCACGGCGTTCACAGCAAGGAATGCGTTCCCTGGAAAAACAAAGAGACCACTACAAAATGAGTTATTTTGTAACATCTCTGTAATGTTTTGCTTCTTTGAATATGCCACAGCTTTTCGGGGTTTTATGCGTTAAGATTTACCATTTATTGTCATTTATACAGGCAGTAAGTTAAATCGTGCTTTGGATAAGCTCCTTTGCTATGGTCAGCTCCTTCGCTGACATATTGATGCTATAAAAATATGGAGTTTTGCGATAATACAACAATTATTCTTCCCTTCCTGTCCTCCCAGGTTCATGGTATTCCCCTACACCTGTGTAGGTTACGTGTGATGTTTGATGACGTTATTACAGGGGTAATAAGTGGTAGAAGAGCTAACTTACAAAGTAGAAGCCTTCAGCCATAACTTACAAAGTATGTAAATATGTATGCCTCCATAACGGTTTATAATGCCTCAGAATTTCTATAATACCCACAAGGATGTCCGGCAAGTTTTGTCTCAACAAATGGTAGACATATCTAAATTTGACAAAATAGTTATACACAGCCATATTGAACAAACGCTTGAAACTCGGTGTACCTTGGGAGGGGATAGACCCTTTCACTAAATGGAAACATAAATACACATGACTTTCCGTATGGCCGCAGCATTCATGGGCCCTCTGTGTGATTCTTAAATGTGCGCTCTTCTTGGTATTGTTAGCCTGGGCGTGGGTATCAAATTGCAATAAAGAGCTGAGGCTATTTATATACGACGAGCCGTTTTAACTGAAACGACACTACTGTCATATAGAAATCATATTTCAATCATTATGACTGAAGTTGTTTTGAAATGCAAACAAAGGAGAACTTATGGGAGCTCTGGATTGTTGTCACTCTTTGAAATATAGTGTGGTTACAGCGTTACACGTGCTGTTGTATGTCCATTATATGTTTTGAATAGTCTGTTTACATGTGTTGTGGCAACAACTAATTCAAACTGCGCAGCAACAAGCCTTACAATACGTCTCTCTTTGCTGATATTTGTGCTCGAAGTGTCCACATTATATCATTCGTGGATACAATTATTATGACCAGGGAACTTCTTCATTTAATGAATACTCACTGTCCGTAAACGCGTTGTGCATGACTTTGTGAAATGCAACACTGACACTGTTATCGATGTACAGCTGCATATGTATGGGAT